GATTCTGCACCACTCATTAATGACGCGATGAAGGACATTTATCTCAAAAACAAAGTACCAGTAATTTTACACATAAAATTTTGAAAAGTCAGTTAATGTTAAAATTCAAATAGTTCGAACAAAACTGAAGTTTTCAAGCTGAAATTCTCGCTATGGTTTGCGCACATAATGTAGAAAAAAAATTGTCCACGAATGTTTCAATCCGATAATTCTCTCACAAAAAAATAATCTTTTTTAAATAAGGAAACGGATGTTGGAAAATTTATTTCTACGTAATTCGATTCAACGTGAAAAGTGCTATAAAAATATATATATATTTTCGGAATTTCATCTGAACATTTGCTAGTGCTAGAAAAAATTCTTTTTTGAAAGGGTGGCATTCTGGATTCTTAATAACATTGGCAGAATAGAATGAAAAATAATTCGACTGCATCATGGGCATGTATACAATCGTTATAATGTTTATGAGTCAGTAATACGGATTTTAAAAAATGTATGAAGGACGTGAATGGTTCAGTTATTAAACGTAACTTGTGATTGCACAACTGAAACGATCGTAAATTAAAGATGGCGATTTTTGGTCAAATGATTACTAGCAGGAGATTAACAGCCCTTAGGGAAATATAACTCTCAGAATTCTCGCGAGAGAAGTTAATTTCGCAGACTTCCGGCCTGTTGGATACAAGGGCATCTAAACGGCGGAGGGAGGGAAGCACGAGAAAGGAACTGCTTGCAAACTGCGCCGCGTGTTTCATATTCCGTGTAATTACTTTTTCCCATCGTGGCCTCATTTTTCCATCTCTATCTATTTCCGTCCCCGCCGGACGTCCATCGACAACCATATGGCAGTTGAATATTACGTTAGTTATGGCGGAACATCTGGAAAATTGCGGCTTTTCCTGGATCCTTCCATAAATTCATTTCTCATGTGCTTCGTACAACGTTAAAAATAATTCTGGCAACGATCTCAGATCTCCACACAATATTAACCCTTTGCAGTCGAAGCTATTTGAATTCGAAATCCAAAACATGATTTCTGATCTACGGTATTTCTATTTTATATAATTTATTGCGATTTGTGCATGTAAAATTGAACTTATTGGCAAGTACAATGGAATTTTAATAGCTTCTTTTAAATATAAACGAGTTTGATGCTTTTAGAATGATTTTGAAAAATAGTATACCAATTTCTAGTGGCGCCGCAGAGTCGCCATTCGAGTGCAAAGGGTTAACACTTTAATGGCCGCACGTCTGCGTGATCAAACGTCGCCAGGGTTCGGCAATATATTTTTGAAGAATTGATTTAAAATAAAATTAAAATTTATGTAAATTCATGAAATAATTCAAAACATGCGCGAACATACACGTAAAATAAGAAAAAACAACAACAGCAATAACAGCACATTTAATACAATAAATCTAATATTTTTCCATTGTGGAATAATTATTAAAGCAATCACCTACATAATTATTAACCCTTAGCGGACGACGACCTTCTCGGCCGAGTCAGGTAGCAGAACGAGGCGATTTTTGCAAATATGTCGAGAGAGAGTGTCTTATATGGTAAAATAAAATGATCTTACATATAAATTATCTTACAAAAACGTTATATTTCGTTAGTTTATCTATATTCACGCTTTTATGAATATAATTTTACAAAAATTATGATTCGTAGTTTCGTTCGGTGTGATAGTTTATAAAACATTGACCAAGATGCGTTCTTGGTTTATCTGGACATGTATCACAGAAACAGGTCGTCTTATGTCTTCCCCCTGGTTTGTTTCGACTGGAACAAACTTTGCAATCTTTCTTTGTGCCAGTAACAATTACATGCAGTTCCCCGTTTAGACGACTTTCGTCAGAGTTGGCCGTCGAACTTGAAGATCTATCTCGTGGTTCACGATAATCTCCTCTCAATTTGTTGATCAAAATCTTGCGAAAGTTCAAACGTGTAACTGGCTGTTCGTTTCTCTGCGTTTTTACATGTTTGTAGAGAATGTACGAATTGATTAAACAAATTTCCAGTTCACGGAAAAATAATTTGCGCCACCACTTCAGGGACTTTCTCATAAAACAGTACGTTGAACAATGTTGGAGATAATGAAATCTAACATAAACACCGACTGTCGCCTCTCATTCGCCATTCGTCCTGCCGCGCGAAACGCCGTGGCGACCGAGAGTCGCTTCTCGTCTGCAAAGGATTAAAGCAACGCACATTTGTGAGAGCGGCCATTAAAGCGTTGTATTAAATTCATAAAATCCGCAGTCTAATAATACCAATAATAAATAGTAATTAACTAATTTATCCATGAACTACGAGATCGTGCTAATCGTCGGGTTCTTTTTACGCGTACTTTACGTAACTCTGGCCAAGTTGCAGCACAAGTTTCCACGATCCGAGATAATGTAACGACACACGTGGCGCTGGATTTCGCGGATAAAATAGTCGCGCGGAATTCCAGAAAGCTGGTCGACATTTACACGCGGCAAACTGCATTACAGTTGCACTTCGAAACGTCGAACTGCAGACAGTTCCCTTTCCGGCCATTAGCCTCTGATACAGTGGCAAAGGGAGTAAAGAGGGCAAAGGGGGCAATGGGAACAAAGGGGGCAAAGGAGACAAAGGGAGCAAAGGGGGCAAAGGGTTCAAAGTGGAAAGTTGTACACAGTTGCACGGGTTACACAATGAAAATGAAAGAAAAACATAGAAAATTCGAGCGCGGGAACAATGAAGCTGGGAAAGCAACAGGTTTGATTTCGATGGAACAACAATGAAAGTACAGCAGCTCACGCGAAAGGATTCGAACAGCTTTTAAAACGCAATAACTTTCTTCAAACTGTACTAAATGACTTGAGTTTTTCTTAGGTGATAAACGGACTGATCCACGAGACAACAACTGAAATGCATTTTCTTAAATTTGTTCTTACTTGGAATGACAAAAAAAGTAAAAAAATCTCGTTCGTTAACTTTCTTATCTGAGCTTATAATAAACATTTAGAAACTTTCCAAGATCTCGGTAACTCATGTGCATGCTGAAAATTTTATCGAAATCGGTTAACCCAGAGTCAAGCTACAGGCGTTGAAAGATTTCAAGAACTGCAGATTTCTTATGGCTTTTGGTAAAAAGTGTGTCAAAAGTCGGGACAAAATTGCGATTTTAGCGATCTTTAATTATTTGTGATTCATAACAACGTCAAACAATTTCGATAAAATTTTTACCATTACTGAGCATTCTCTAATTACCGCGTGTCAATTTCTGTACACTGATCTAATTATCGTGTTTCGATTACTGTGACCAGTTTTATGGGAACACGGCGAGACAAAATGGTGGCATATTTAATTAAAAATTATGTATATCAATAAATCAAAGAAATGATATTTAATGCTTAACATATTAAAACATAATATTATAAAAATAATATTATAATAATATTATAATAATATTATAATATTATAATATTATAATATAAAACATAAAATATTATGTATCAAATAATTTACCATCTTTAATTGTATATGTTTCAATACTTACGATATTATTCAAAAAAGAAAAGAAAATCACGTGTAGCGTATACACATTTCACGGGCCAAAAAAATGAGGTTAGGTATCACACGTTATTTGCCATGAACATTATACCATCCGAACTTTTCTGGGAGAAATTACTGTAATAATACTATCATATTTTCTATTTCATTGTTATCTTCTCAATAATGTTTATTGAACAAAACTTTAAATATTTATATACTAATAGTTCGCATATTAAGACAAGCGCTATCGCGCTGTTCGACATTTTTCGACCGTGTTCTTTCAATCACCTCTGGGACTTAAACGGTTAAAGTGTTAATCATTCTGTTTTGTTTAACACGTTCCGTGCCGAGCTTTTTTTACTCGAATCTTCACACTTTGATATTTTACTAAAACTTGATGTATTACGTGCAATTATTAATTCTCGTACACATAACAACGTAACAAAAACTTATCAACGCCCATTCTTGCGGTGGAAATTGATTCTTCGGTTCTAAATTTCTTGTAAACAATTTGTTCAGTTCACTAAGTAAACATGCAAGCGTGTACCATCGATGGTACACGTGGCACGGAACGTGTTAACCACTGTTCTGTTTTCACTACGATGCGATAGCCGCTACCGAGGCGATCCTAGAATGGTACTGCGCAAGGTCATTCAAGGTCACCAAAGCTTCATCCTGCTCGTAACAGTATCCCCTGCATTAACGATCATCTGATACTAACTACGGATACTAACTACGCAATGTTATACATTCGTAGAATGTTTACATTCGTCTACCTTATATTATATGTATATATTATATAATATAATATATTATATATATAAGAATTATAATTCTGGGAAAACGAAGCGAATTCTTACGGAATTACTATTTCTCACCATAACATCGTGGAATCTTGATGTTGCATTAATATTCGCAGCCTAGTTTATCAGTTTTCGTTAAATAAGAACGCCGGATAAGCAAGCAGAAAATATGCTCGTTCTAATTAGCCTACTTCGGAGATAAGAGAGTGATTCAATTTACGAAACACCGCGCACCGGCGGCAATGGCCGGGCACCAGCGAACCCGGCTCCATTTACAATTCACCGGTTTACACGCGGCAGTTTCTTCGGCATTGCGTTACCCAGCAACCCTTTCGTTCGCTGCTCGCAGCGTTTAATTGACCTGACCTGCCCAATCAACTCGAACAGTTTATTATTTCGCCCGTCGCGACGGCACGTGGGACGCGAAATTCGTGAACGCCGTTTCGCGGCACGTCCGAAAGAAAATACAATACGTTGCCGCTAAACTTGCGGAAATATCTGTACGATTCTGAATCGTCTTTCTTTCCCGACCCACGCGTGCTATTCAATTTCGCTCGATTTGTCTGCGAAAATAAACGCGCGAAATAAAAGCTTTCCGCGCCGATTGCGGAGAACGACGACGATATAAGGGATTTTCTTTCTAAAACGCGACGCACGATTTTTCACCTGCTTGCTAGCATCCGACGAAAAAGTTTAGAACAAAAGTTGCAGTCGTCTGGTAAGAAAAGCAGAGAACAAAAGGGTTGCAGGGTACGGAGTGTAAAATGGATGTCAGTAAAGAAGTTTTCATGGGAAAATCAACGTCACCTTGGGGTTTACAAATAGGAATATTTTTTTACCATTACTAAACGTATATTACATTAGATTTTAACTAACGTGTTACATGATTTACGGCGGCGGAAATGTGAAATACAATAATTTCTCCCTAATTCGCACTCAGATTGCGCACAAAAGTGGACAATTTGGGAAGAGGAGGCAAGGCTCGAATAAACGTATCACTTTTTCCCAAATTGCCTATTTTTGTACGCAATCTGAGCGCGATTTAAGGCGACATTACTGTACAGGGTATCCCATAAATGTGAGGCCATGTTTGTCATGCTGAAAATTCACAAGTTCGACGAAATGAACGAACTTCGTAAAATATTTTTCGGAGATGCTGTTTACAGCCGAATGAAATTTGATTGTTACTCTTTAATTTAAAAAAAAAATCGTAGAAGCGTTTTTTTCGCAAAGTTGCAGCCCTTTCAAGTAATCCTTGCATTTTTGTTATGCACCACCGGCATCGGCGTTATCGGACGTGCAGCACAGGGAGATTGTCGGTCGGATCTTGCACATCGTGTGTGCTTTGTATATATGCGTATGTGTGTGTACGCGTAAATTTCAGTGGCGTGTGTTTCCTCCGCGTTGCTCTATTATTGCTTGCTATTACCGCGTGTTAACACAAGCTCTGATTTCATATCAAAAATGCAAGGGTTACTTTATGGTGCTGTGATTTTGCGAAAAAAATCGCAGCCAAGTTTCTTTTCTTTTTAATTGAAGTGGAAGTATTAAACTTCATTCCGCTGCAAATGACATCTTCTAAAAAAATTGCACAAAATCTGTACGTTTCGTTAATCTTGGCAATTTCAATATAACAAGCATAGCCTCACATTGGAAGAATTGTAGTGGTGAGAGTGCATCGAACCTAAAATCCAGAAACATTATCTTAAAGTGAAAGGTTCAAGCTTTAATTTAAACAAAAAGTCATCATCCTACGATGATTTTTCGTGGAGTTATAATTAGTCAAAGTTGAGCAATTCTTATCCTAAATTTCTCTATGCTATAATTTTTTTAAGCAATGTACAATATATAGGGCATTTTAAGTGCTTTCAGTGTTTCAATATATTTTAGTAATTCCACCTATCTATTTTTCTCACAAACGCATAAAATCCGGAGTCTACTAATCGCTGTACAGGGTGAGGCACCTAAGACAGGCTACCTGAAAAACTGGCTTGCTTGTAAAAACAGACAAGAAAAGCATGAAACAAAATTCGTTTGATTTTTAGAGGCACACAATGCGATGTCACCTTGTTTAACTTGTGTAACCGTGAATGATCTTCATTTATAGGTCACTGTATTCGTTTTGGAAGGCTCTATCAGAATGCGAATAAAAAACATCAACCAGCTTAAAAAGAACAAGTTTAACTATTTAGAGACATTATTTTAAAATAGAGGTTTTATGCTCTCATTTTTTTAAAAAGCTATCGTCTTACGATGATTTTTCAGTTTTCTTTTTTCTTGGCTCCTTGATTACTTTATGTAACCGTGAATGACCTTCATTTACACTTGAAATTACAGAAAAACTATTTACGGAATTAGGTGTGATTTAAACGAAACATTCGATTTTTCCAGCGTATATTCGAGCTGCTACGAAATGTTCTCCACGATCCGGGACGGAATTCGAGCAGACAAGAAAACGGAAGACAGCAAACCGTTCGGTTTCGCCCGTTTCGAGAATATTTCCGAAGGCAACGTGCAACTCGCAGACGTCGTGGGCGCCGGCGAGCAAAGATCCGGAAATGAGACGGAGGATACCGGCGAAGTTTCCGGCGGACAATTCGAGAATCCTTTATACAGGTCGAAGAGAAAACGGCGAGAGGGAGCGGAAGTAATGGACATGAACACGCCTCTCAGCATGTCCACTCTCAAGAACAAAGTGGAAGACGGCATCGAGGAAGTGGATCTTGACATCGATCAGTGATACGATCGAATTTCAAGAACAACTTTCAACATTTTAACTCGATTTATCAGTAATCTACTACTATCAAGTATACTTTGTTCAGAAAATTGAAGGAATGTGGAAAATTAATTGTTGAAGAGGGTGTTAATGTGATGTTGATGATTCTCTGTTATTTGACATCGAATTACAAAAACAACTTTCAACATTTAAGCTCGATATATCAGTAATCTAATACTATTAAGTATACTTTGTCCAGCAAATTGAAAGAATGTGAAAAATTAATTATCGAAGAGGGTATTAATGAGATGTTGATGATTTTCTGTTATTTGCCATCGAATTACAAAACAACTTTCAACATTTTAGCGCGATATATCAGTAATCTATTACTATCAAGTATACTTTGTTCAGAAAATTGAAAGAACGTGGAAAATTAATTATCGAAGAGGGTATTAATGAGATGTTGATGATTTTCTGTTATTTGCCATTGAATTACAAAACAACTTTCAACATTTCAGCTCGATATATCAGTAATCTAATACTATTAAGTATACTTTGTTCAGAAAATTGAAAGAACGTGGAAAATTAATTATCGAAGAAGGTGTTAATGAGATGTTGATGATTCTCTCTTATTTGACATCGAATTACAAGAACAACTTTCAACATTTTAGCTCGATATATCAGTAATCTAATACAATTAAGTATACTTTGTTCAGAAAATTGATAGAACGTGGAAAATTAATTATCGAAGAAGGTAGTGATGAGATGTTGATAATTCTCTGTCATTTGACATCGAATTACAAAAACAATTTTCACCACTTTAACTGAATTTATCAGTCTTCCGCTGCGAGGCGTGTCGTCGACGTCAAAATCGCCATTTTTGAACTTCGCAAACCATTTCCGTGCTGTAGACTCGCCTATGACACCTTCTCCGTATACGTTGCAAATGTCCCGGGCTGCTTCAGCAGCTTTCTGGCCTCGATGAAAAGCGAAGAAGAAAAGGTGACGAAAACGTTGCTTTTTATCTCCTGGTTATTCCATTTCTATGCCTCAAAAGTAATAAAAAATCAAATTACTCAGAAAGACGATTAGCACAGTTTTGTAGAACAGAAAGAGTTATATCGAATAAATATTATACACTTTGTCAAACAGCAAAAAATCGTTGTAAAATAAAAGTTAATATAAAAACGCTAGGAGAACTTATTCCCCAACCTAATAGATATTAAAATTCTGTCTTTAGATAATTCTCCAGCGGTTGCTTTGTAATCGTTCGAAAGCCAATAGGAACGAAGGAATACAAATTTCGAAGTCGAAGGGGTCAAGGTATTTATCAGATCTTTCGAAAGCACATTATTCCGTGAACATCTTAGCACAGTTAAGCCGATAGAAATGGTGGAACTGAAATTGATAGGTCCTAAAGTATCAAACAAGGCCCGGGAAATGACAAGGAGCCGAGAGAGGACGTCGTTGAGGAGGCTCACTGGCTCTTTAATAGCTTCTCCGCGTAATTAAACCGTGAATCTTCCCCGCCGACATCGATTCCATCTCCGAGGGCTATCAGATCGAGGCGGACGGCAAGGAAATTCGATACGAACACAGATAGCTTGACAAGCGTTGGATAAAACAATGGGCAATTTTGCCAGCTAATTCCATCTCTGCGGGAAAATAAGCTCCGGCTACCAAATAAATATTCTCTTTGTAATTGATGGCTGCTCAAACAATATAACCCACGGAAATGCGTATTCGAACGCCTTTTGAAACGCGATAATTTCACCTGGATTTTTTGGAGATGCTAGAACGCGCGCGAATGTGATTTACCGTGCAATCACAGTCATAATTTTTTTCTTAATTTTGCTGTTACATTGGTACGACAAAAGAGAGAAATTTTCAATGACTTGTTTTGATGGATGTACAGGCTGGGTGAAAAAAAATCGTGACGATTCTACGTGCAAAAATAAAGTCGAAGAAAGGATAATATTTTTGTTCAATTTAAGGCTCCGTTTTCGAGAAGAAATAAGTTAAGAAAATAATACTATTGAATTGAAATCAAATGGCGCGTCTGATCATCGCATACCAATTCTACTTCTCCTCAGACTCATTTTTCTCGGAAAAGTAATCTTAAATGAAAAAAATCCTACTCTCTTTTTTTTATAGAAACACGAGACGGTCGACAAAAAAAGGCAGCGACCAGCATGCCGATGTGCATGTTAATATGAATACACACACTGTAATATCAGTATAAAAACGATGACTTAACTATTTTATTTCTAACTTTTTGTCACAATTCGAAGGCAATTCGGAGGCCACATGCCACGATTCTAAGGCAATTCGCAGACCACACGCCACGATTCGAAGACAATTCGGAGGCCACATACCACGAAATGATCGATTTAAATTAATTATTATAACACTCTAATCATTTTAATCAACGAAGAGAATATTTCTCTGATTCAAATTTGTCTAAAATACCGTACGAAAATGAAGATATTCACACGAAAATCCGCAGTCTGGGAATAAGACCGCGAACTATGATAAATGAACTATGATAAATAAAGTGGAGACAACGTGTGAGGCAAGTTCAAGTCACATGTGTTTATTCCTCGACGTACAACGCTCGAAGCCGGACCACGTGCGACACCGACCACGTGGCCTCCCATCGGCGCAGACACTTACTCGTACGAGATAATAGGATAAACCGTCGCACAACTACAAACACGTATACTGGATACACATAAAGATACACTCGCGGGATCAAACATAAGATCCGACACACAATATGTATAATGCAGAGCCACGGCGTGAGAAGGAGAGGTGGACCGACCGTAGTTACTCCACCAAAAATTTTTTGCGACCCTGAAAGTGTACTTCCACGAGTTCCTGCGAGAGGTGCTAGTGAAACATTGGTGCTCGCCGATACATCGTACAGGGTGTCCTAAAATTATAGTATTTCCGGGAAACGAGGGGTTCCCGAGGCGATTTGAAGTAACTTTTTCCTTTGCAACAATTTTCTCCGAGGCTTTGTTTACGAGTTATTAACGTAAAACCGCAACCAATGGGAAGCGAGATCAACTGGCGCGAGACGGCCGAGCCAATCAGCGGAACTGGGCTTTGGCCGCTCGTTGGCGCGGCCTCGGAGCTCGCCTCCGATTGGTCACTGTTTTTCGTTAATAACTCGTAAAAAAAGCCTCGGAGAAAATTATTGCAAAGGAAAAAGTTACTTGAAATGATCTCGGGAACCCTCTATTTCCAGGTTGCGAGACATTTCTGGGACACCCTGTATATCGGAAGTAATGACCTTTAATCCTCGGACGGCGGATCAGCAATTTTTCAAAACTGATTTTTGAACGTATTTCTTGCAGACTTATTGTTAATCCCTTGCCGGACTTTGACAATTCCGACAGGTTACAAAAATTTCTAGTAATAATTTATCGAGTATAGATGTTATTCTGTCCTTTAAAATTGGAATAAAATGTCTCGTCATCAATATTAACACTTTAATGGCCGCGCGTCAAATGTCGCCAGGGGCCGGCAATATTTATGTAAATTCATGGAATAATTCAACGTGTGCAAACACACACATAAAACAAAAAACAACAACAATAGCAATACATTTAATCCTTTGCACTTAAGCGGCGAGTTTGAGGCGCCACTAAAAATTGTAACAGCATTTTTCATTCAATAATTGTAACAGTATCAGATTTGTTGTATTTAAAAAAAAAACTGTTAAAATTGCAATTATTGTACTTGCCAATGGGCACAATTTCAAATGCATAAACTGCACTGAATCGTGTGAAATAAAAATACTGCAGATCAAAAAGCGTCTTGGAAAGCATCAGGATTTTGAGTTAAAATAGCTCCGACTGCAAAGGGTTAATGCAAGAAATTGAACATTTTTCCTTCATGTGGTAATTATTAAAGCAATAATCGCCTACATAATTATTAACCCTTTGCGCTCGAATAGTGACTTTGAGGCACCACTAAAAAATGTTGATATCACATTCCAAAATAATTCTTACATCGACAAAATTTAGATTTGAAAAATTGTTAAAAGTATAAACTATACTGTATAAGCCACAAAACTCAATTTCAGACGCATAAAATGCGCTCTGTCGTATAAAATAGTGACAGCGTAGGTCAGAAAAATTACTTTAGATTTACAGTTAAAATGGCTTCGAGTGCAAAGGGTTAAAGCATCACACACACGCTGTATGAGCGGCCATTAAACCGTCAAAGCATTCAAGTAAATTTAGGCACACGATAAGCATCGATTTTCTTTCCCTTCTAAGAAATTACTGCGATCAAAAAATTTCTAATCGCAGTAACCGTGAAGAAAATAAAGGGTTAATAACCTTTAAGTTATCAGTTAAGTTAGGTTAAGTTATCAGCCTTTCTGTTGTTATTAGTGTAACAGCAATTCATTTGATGTAATTGCCTAAAGTCGAGTATCGAAATGAACGATCTAAATACTCTGAGTCAAAATTGACACAGCCATCGCCTAGCGAGGGTTAAGATCACCGGAACAGCGATGAAGTCGGATCACCTTCCCTTCTTGCACTGTTTTCGCCGCGGTAAAACGAAGTCACACGCACACATTCACGAGCATTCCTATCGTTACGTGGAACGTGTACGTTTTTGTTTTTAGTGTACACATATATTATCTGTTTATATAGAATCTTATGTATACATATGTGTGTACATATATATTATTTATTATATAATATATTTATAATAATTTTATATTATAATATATATATATATATATATATATATATATATATATATATATATATATATGTATATATAATATATATTTATATTATAATAAATATATTTATATAATATATTTATATTATATATATATATATATATATATAAATTTATCTCTTTTTCTCTTTTCATATATATATAACCATTTATATAAAGCTTTAATCAATAGAATATATTAAACTCTTTCTCTCTCTCTCTCTCTCTCTCTCTTTTTCTCGCTAGCTCTCTCTTCTTCGTGCACATTATTTTCTCGATGAAAATTGCATAAACTGGCATTTTTGTACAGAAAAACGATCCTCGGTCGAGTGTACGATCGGCTCTAAGGCGATGACGGAAACGCGAAGCTTCTTCGTACGAATTTCCGGGCCGGAAATAGTCTGGGCGACGCGAAGTGATGTTCAAAAACACGGGTCTCGATCGAGAATAATTCTAAAAGTCTGCTGCAGATGGATCCGAAGTTTGCGATGGGTAGAATGTGGATCTTTGCGCGGTTTGTAAATTTGCTTCGTTGATTCTCGGGAGAAGTTGTTCTCTCGTTTTGGAACTTCATTTCTCAAATTTTCATTACGACGATCCCAAAAGTACACTTAACGATTGACAATTAAATTGTTTGGAAAATTAGCGCAGCCCTTCGCGCTCGGATGTCGTCGATGCTACATATTCGTGTCAGTGATATTTATTTCTAATTATTATTTTTTCTTTTTATATCGCAAGGTAACCGTGTGAAATACATAAAAAAATTTATTAATTCCTATAAAATTTCACGGTACTGTAGAGACTCTCTTATCTGAAGATTTATGTTTGCAATAACCCGAACACAAAAACATTCTATTATTTAAAAATTCCATTCAAGTTTTCCGCTAGATGATAATGTATCGGCTTGGAAACTCAGTTCCCGCCGATTTTGTTTAATTTTAACATTCCGCATGTCATTAAATGTTTTCGGCATAATGTTTCAAACTATTCGAAAGAAGATGTTTTATTCCACGGGAATCTATGTTTTGCTTTTTTGTTCGAGTTAATTTATGTTAATTTTCAGATCATTAAAATG